GTTGACCAGAAACACTTCTGGTATTGTATTTATGTTTTTTCTTACCCATACGAGTAAAAAAGATAGAAAAATAACTAGTTTTATATGTAACTACAGTGAAAAAACGTATTTCTCTACTGTGGGAATATTTGGTACAAGTGATCGATGGGAAGAGTTCTTAAAAAAAATTATCCTTGATATCATAATTCTTAAGAGACATTTCTAAATAATATTTGTTTATTATTACGATTTTGTACACTATCCATTTCACGGCAATTTTCATTATGGAATTTTGGAAGGTTTGACACCAATTTTAAAAATACAAATATCTTTAGTAAAATTAGATACATCTGATTTCATCATGAATTCATCATATCCAAATATTGGTCCATATTTATCCTTAATAGGAAAATACAATAAAGCTTCACCTTCAATTTTCACTCCACTAAGAATAAAATTTTGGATATTATTATCATCTTTAAATGAAAATATGAAATTTCTATTTGTTTTTGTCAAAAAGTTTTTTGTGCTGTCCTAAGCTAAAGGGTTAAATCCGCCAAATAATTTCATTTGTTCCTTAACTTTGGTAACCACAATTGTATTATTATGCCCATTACAATTATCCCAAAAAGTTCTAGGAGCAAATCCATCTTTGTCTCCTCGAAGAATTAATTGAAATTCATAGGGATAATTTCTTTAAGAATAACTTGATGGTTAATTATCAATCCATGATCAAATCAATGCTGCATGCTCTTCATTAATTACAGTTGAAAATGATTTATCACTTATTCTTCTTGGTAGTTCTTGAGTTAAGCTAACTCTTGATGGAAGGATATTAGATTCTATTGGTTGATTTGGCAGCGTAGATGTTGCTTTAAATCATTCCATAATTGTCTATCAATAATTTTCTTAAATGGCTTAATTTTATAAATAACATCAGAATTATCAGAATTTGAAATGTGAAAATAACGAATAAGTGGTAAACGTTGTTTTTAAAGTCGTGAGGATTTCGTCCGACCATCCTTCCAATTTATCGTGTAAAGCAGAATTCTGTGCAGTACCCACTTAATTACATAATTCCTAATTTCTGATTCTTTCATCTGTGGTTCATCACATTTCAAAATATAAATCAATGTAGATTCATGAAGAGTAGTGAATTCTACGGATTCGAAAAAAAATAATTGGATGTTTTACAATAATATCATTATAAAATTTTTCTAAATTTTTGAATATGTTATTTTTAAAAATTGAATGATAAACGAAGGCGAAATGAGTTCTTAACCAAGAAGCTTTAGATTCAATAAGATAATCTTCCTATTTCAAAGATAATTCCTCAAACCCTAACTTGTCAGCGAAAATCATCAATTCGTACAAATTCTAGCATCCATATTTCTGTATTAATAGTCCTGCCCTAGATATATCTATATAAAATTATTAAAAATTGTCAATTATATCTATATCTATTTTTATATTACTTCAAAAAACTTTGTTAAACATTTTTTTTCTCCTGTTAATTTACTGTACATATATTACAACTAACTAAAAATAACAACGACACATCGTTACCTTGGGATTATCCCAGAACTGATACTTTATTATGCATAATAATTAAATTAAAAAACAATTAAATTATAAAGGCCTTACTTGAGAATAATTTCAAACGTTTGAGCAAATATTTAGTTTAGTAATAATTTTGTTATTATCATCATCATTAGTAATATTGTTTGTTAATTCTTTATTAAAGTGGGATGACCGATAACGTAAAACGGCTAGTGCGCAGTGAAGGTTTTTTTATTTTGTTCTTGATCAACTTCAATGATAACATTACATTCTTCTTTGTCATTAAGAAGTTCGATAAGGTCTTAGGATAATTTGTCCAAAAGTTTAATCGTTATTTTTTTTTGTAATTTTTTAGAGTGTACAAACATACTGTAATTAAATGTTGTCGTCGATACAATCTATTTTTTTAATCATAATCACTTGAATATAATATAAGTTGCGTATAAATAATTATTACATGATTATATATAAACAAATGACTTTAGGACAATAGATATGCATGTTTATTTTGGTAGCACCATTTCTGAGATTCGTATTACATAACTGCATCATTCATTTTTTTATAAATTGAAATACTATATTTTGTTGTTTCGTTACAAAAAAAATGTCTTTAAAATTTTTTGACAAGTTATCTCAAAACTTTATTGAACTTATTTACGATAAAGACGATTACAATGTAATCGTTGAAGTCGAAAATAAGGAAAAATCTTTTACAGCACACTCTAACATATTGAAATATAGGTCGCCTTATTTCCGTCAGGAATTAGAAAATATTCAACCAAATGAGAAAAATATTAAAATAATTACCAAGCCAAGTATTTCTTCTAAAATTTTTGACGTTATTCTTAAGTAAGTTATATTCATTAATGAAACATTATTACTCATAGTTATATTGAAAATTTAATTTAATCATATTATAATTTTATGTAGATATGTTTATGGTGGGATTGTTAATTTAGAAAAGGTTGAAACTAGATTTATTTTTGACTTAATGTTAATAGCTAATGAATTTGAACTTACGGAGTTATCCGACAAATTACAAACTATTCTTATTGAAGATAAAGCTTCTTGGTTGAAAACACATTTTTCTTTAGTCCATCGTACTATTTTTGTCAAAGAAAACTTTAGAGATTTAGAAAATTTTTGTAATGATATTGTAGTCAAGTATCCGAATCTTATTTTTGATAGTTCAGATTTCACTTCTCTTCCAGAATCTTCACTTGTATCTCTTCTCAAACGAGACGATTTGCAAATTAAAGAAGTTGAAATTTGGGACTACATTATCAAGTGGGGAATTAATCAGAATCCTACTCTCACTACAAACCTTGGAGATTGGACAAAGGAAAATTTTCTTACGTTAAAAACTACTTTGCAACAATGCCTACCATATATTCGTTACTTTCATATTACAAATATTGAAATTTATGATAAAATCAGGCCTTATAAAAGAATTCTTGATAAACAACTTTGGGAAGATATCAATCAACATATAGTAGCTCCCGACCAACCAATGAAATCAATTATTTTACCATCAAGATCGGTATTGGCTACAGAATTGCCTCCTCGTACAAATGAATCAAATGAAACCTTTTCAACTATTATTTCTGAAGATCATGCTACAAAAATTTCTAGTAATAATCTTAAAACTAAAAAATATCGAAAAGGGCGCTTTACAGAAAAGGTAACGAATGACAGTATAAATTGGAAAAACTTTTTTTTATTGACTAAATAATAATAATATTTTCCGAAATAACTAGGAAGATCAAGATTTAATAAAATTTTACAATATGTATATTGAAGATCAAAGGAATAAAATTTTGGCTGTCATGGAACCTCATCTGAATAGGAATTCGAAATCTCTGAGAGAGAGGTATTATTTTATAAAATTTCATCAGAATTTGCTTAAATTATTTAATTATCTTTAAATGCAAATTAAAGTTTCTTTTTTCTTTTTTATAATATCGTAATAATGTAGATATTGCAATCACCTTGATCCAAATGGTAATTTTTTTCTATTTTATTAAAAATAAATTCGTCTAAATATTTTAAATTTTAAATAATTTTAAATTAATTTCAAATTTCATATTTTTAATAGTTGGTCATAATGAACTTACTAAAGAAGAGAAGTTAAAAATAAAATTTACTTATGAATCTCTAAGAACTACAAAATCTTCTGAAATTGCTCGTATTCTTAATCAGAGCAATGTAGAAAGAAACGAGAAACGTCGCACGGACTTTTTAGTTAGAAATTATCTTTTTCCTAGATTAAGGAAAGAGAAAAAAATTAAAGATAGAATGTCAATTACAAATATATTGAATAATTGAAGGTACAAAGTCTTGAATTTACATCTGAACTTTTCTTATCCGCTTTAATTTTCTTATATTAATTTCAGTTTATCCATTTTGCAGGAATAATAATTTGAGGATATTCGTTATTATAATTTATTTTATATTTTCTTAATAATTTAGTCATTATTATGTTAATTATTCTTTTATTATTATCATTTACAATAGGCATCTAACTTTTAATCATTTCATATAGTTATTTATGAATAACAAATTTATATTCTTTAATAATTTTATGTTTTTATCCCTTTTTATAACATGATTATCCTTGAATGCTCTAAATAAACAACTTGCTAATTTTAGCTTATATAAAAAAGATCAAGACTTTTTTTCTACTCCTATATTTGTAAATCATCCAAGTTATGAAAAAATCGGAGTGTATGTACTCAATAAACTCAATGAATAAATATGATTTATTTTAAGCCAATCTATTTTGTCGGTAGAAAGGGTATTATGAAATCTTTGTAATTTTTATAATAAATAAAATTTATAAATTTTGATACAATTTATGTTATCCATTATATAACGATTCATGTGCCTAGATGCTTTTATTTTAAATAGAATAAAGCAGCATTCTTTTCCAAAAAAGGAAACAAAAAATTTTGATATTATAATTTCATTTATCTGTAAAGAGGCAGAGTTCATACAGAATAATAAGAATAATAAGTTTACAATTTACTGTTAGATTCTCTTATACCTGTGAATCAAAATTGAAGCATCCACAAAAATTCCAGTGGGCAAGCATAGCATAAAATCTTTCCTTAATCTCCTAATTATACCTATGAAATTTAAGTAATTGATTTTATGTAAAAGGCAATGGTCTCAGACTTTATTTATATTTTATATAATAAATCATTAAATTAAATTTGATCAGAATAAAATAGGATTTAAAATTCCAAGACAGGTAGTTAACTAGTTAAAGAATAATGATGGTGTACATTTACTATTTTTGATAACAATGTAATCTACTGTTATTATTACATTGTAGCATATCTCATCACTATGAATACTTGTCGAGAAGTGATTGTTTTACTAATTTTAGCAAATTTCTTTTAATTTCTAAACACTTGTTCTTCTAAAGGTTTAAATCGATCTTGAATACTACTATTAATTTAATAATAATAATATTGTTTATTTCGCAGCGTCTAATTTCAATATTATCCACCCGTTTTCTTTCTCCCAAAAGAATATAAAGATTATAAAAATATGGTCAAAAACATATGATCCACCACAATAAAAAGTTCAAAATAAATTACTAAAATTACGTGATACTACGAATTACAGCAATGTATTTCTCGTCAGCAAATTCACTGTCACCGTAACATATTATAGAACTTGAATACAAATTTTATAATAAATATAAAATACTTATGCTAATATCTTCGGGGAAAACCAATGAAGTAATTTTATTTCATCATTATAACTAAATTAAAAGTTATCTATATTGTTTAGAGTGGTAAATGGAGAATGGATTTCACCTTTCTTCTTTGACTATATATTATCAATAATTGTTATCAATAAGTGTTCAAATACTGATAATTTTGTTAAACCATTGTCCATTGAATATTCTTCATGTTTTTCATTAGTAAATCAACCTTTCATTATGTATTCTGGATACTGACACTCGTGAGATCAACAAAAATATAAGAAAGAGTAATCAATAAGAATTAATAATTGAGGCAACACGAAAATAAATCATAGTTAAGTTGTTAAAATTTCCAGATGTAAGAATAAAACTTGGATAGTTGTTAAAAGTTTGGAATAATCGAAATAACCCTCACATATGTCAACTACGCCAAGTCATTGAAATATTTTAAATAAAAGGATTTTTTTATTTAAAAAAAAGAGTGTTCACCTCTATAATAATTGTCAGACATATAATGGTTAATTCGGTTAAGGTAATGATTTTTGGACGAAATCTCGAGTAAATGTGTTGAGTTTATTGAAATTATTAATTGTTTATGCTCGTATTTTGAAAACAATTTCTAAAATTTAGGTGCAAAAGAATTGCTCATGTTACACTTTGTGCTAGAGGGCAGAAGAATTAGATAATAAATAAAAGCTAGAATTAAACTTGAAAATTCTAAGAACAATTTTTTGTTCAAATAAATTTTAAACAAACCATTTTCAATTAGAACATGACATTTAGCAAATAATCAACTGACAAGAAATAATTCCAATTAATTCTTTTTGATAGGTATACTAATCTAATTGTGGTTACCAAAGATAAAGAAACAAATGTTAATTAGAAAATGCCATGCTAATGAAAAATTATCACAGAGAATTCTCACAAATTGGTAAATTTACTATAAGCAAATACAAAAAAAAAATATAAAGTTTATGTTTATTCAATAGATACAAAATAGATAAAAATATAGTATAATAAAATATTTTAATTTTCATTAAGATTTACTAATAACTTTAAATACTTCATAATTATCAATAGAAAATCTTTTTGATGTTTTTATATGTTTTTCATAATATTTGGGAAAATTACCACAGACACTAACACTATCTAAACTAAAATTAGATATATTACTATACAAACTAAAGCCATATCCAAAACAAGGACCATAAAATTTTTGTTCACTTTCGCGTCTATATAAAATAGCACGTCTGGTATTTTTTACTCTGCTAAGAATTGAATTTTGAATGATGCCATTTTTTAATGAGAAAACGAAACTATCATTTGTTTCCATCCATTCATTGGAATGAAATGTATTATCCCACACTAAAGGATTATAACCTCCAATAATTTCATCGGTTCCTTTAACTTTCGCTACAACAAATGTACAAGCGTGACCATGACAGATATCCCAGAATGTTTGTGGAGCGAACCCATCTCTAGTTCCACGCAAAATTAATTCAAATTTGTAGGGAATATTTGTTGTTGAATAAGTAGTTGTTTTACGGTCAATCCAACTAGAAATTTCTGCAGAGTGATTTTCAGAAATGATAGTTGAAAAGGTTTCGTTTGATTCATTTGTACGAGGAGGTAATTCTGTAATCAAGAACGATCTTGATGGTAAAATAATTGATTTCATTGGTCGGTCGGGAGCTACTAGATGTTGATTGTTATCTTCCCAAAGTTGTTTATCAAGAATTTTTTTATAAGGCCTGATTTTATCATAAATTTTAATACTTGTAATATAAGAAAGTAACGAATATATGGTAGGCATTGTTGCATTTTAACGTAAGAAAATTTTCTTTTGTCCAATGTTCAAGGTTTGTAGGGAGAGTAAGATTCTGAGCAATTCCTCATTTGATAACGTAGTCCCAAATTTCAACTTCTTTCATTTGCAAATCGTCTCGTTTGAGAAGAGATACAAGTGAAGATTCTGGAAGAGAAGTGAAATTTGAACTATCAAAAATAAGATTAGGATACTTGACTACAATATCATTACAAAAACTTTCTAAATCTTTAAAGTTTTCTTTGACAAGAATAGTACGGTAGACTAAAGAAAAATGTGTTTTCAACCAAGAAGCTTTATCTTTAATAAGAATATTTTTTAATCTGTTGGAAAACTCCGCAAGTCCAAATTCATTAGCTATTAACATTAAGTCAAAAATAAATCTAGTTTCAACATTTTCTAAATTAACAATTCCACCATAAACATATCTACATAAAATGATAATATGAATAAATTAAATTTTCAATTAAATTATGAGTAATAATAATTCATTATTGAAAATAACTTACTTAAAAATAACATCAAAAATTTTAGAAGAAATGCTTGGCTTGGTAATTATTTTAATATTATTCTCATTTGGCCGAATATTTTCTAATTCCTGACGGAAATAAGACGACCTATATTTCAATACGTTAGAGTGTGCCGTAAAAGATTTTTTTATTTTCAACGACGATTACATTGTAATCGTCTTTATCATTAAGAAATTCAATAAAGCTTTGAGATAACTTAGATAACTTGTCAAAAAATTTCAAAGACATAAATTGTCGAAAAAAATGAATGTAAGCATGTATGACAAATATACTCATTCTATCATAAAGTCACGTGTATTTGAGTTAGAATATTAAGATAAAAATACAATTTGCAATTTCAGTAGTACAAATAAAGGGTTTAATCGTACTACCAAAATAAAGTTCCTAGATTTAAGTTTATTTCTTTATATCATTTATCATTGAGTTACACAGTTTGGACTTTTTTTTTAAATCCAACGGAACACAGTTTGGACATAACTTAGTCATCATTTTTGTTCGATGTAAAAAGGCACTTTGAAGAATTTATATATGATATTCATTGGTCATCAATTGTTATTCACCATGACTGAAGGAATTTTTTAGTCAAACAGGAATAACATCATAAATAAGTTTTCACGTTAAAATCAAGTTCAGACTTGTTGAGTAACCAATTTGTTGTTTAGAAACTTGTTTTTGAATAACTTGTTGCCGTTTTTGTTGTTTCGGCTGAATAACTTGTTGTTGTGGTAAAGATTGCCTGGTTGAAGATCGTCTAATATTTAAAACTTGTTTTAATATTATTGGATTGTAATTTATTCTGTTTTTTTTATTATTTAAAACTATTGATATTTTATGACATACTTTAATTATTATAGTTATTAATTGATTTTTAAATAAAATGATTTAGAAACATTTTTTAGATAAATCGCCACAAGAAGAAGAAATAATGAAGATTCATGGTATTGTTTTTTTTTATTAATAATTTGTTGAACAAAAATTATAGATGATGTTAAAATTTATGATTTGATTTTTTATCATTCAGTATACCTGTTACAGAAAATATTTTATATATAGTAAGAGAATTTCTTTAACACATTATTGTTTTAAATGTGATATTTATTTATTTATTAATACAATTGTATAAAAGATAAGATAATATTGATTTATATATTGCTATATCTATAATAAATATGATTTATTTTTGAATCAATAAAAATCCGGGGGGGTTATATGATTAAAATTTTAAGATTACGCTATGATTTGTATTGCTATATTGCCATACGCAAAAAAGAAAAATTTGATATCTAATGTTACGAAATTTTCCGAATATTACTTTTTTCGACTTACTACTGCCATTGAATTGTGAAACATAAAGTTATCGTTCAAATTTTTTGATCTAATCTCGGGACTTCTAAATTTGTCAATTCAACAAAAAATTATTACATTAAGTCCATAAAAAGTCTGGCTTAAAACCTCGCACATTTAGATTTTCCTGCTTCACAGAAGTTGATATATCTCACATTAAAAGAAATTATTTTTATTTAATCGATTTTAGTTACTCCTTATAATAGAACATTTGCCTTATTCCATTGATTGTCCGTGAATTTCAAAGTCTGTCTAATTACAGATATTTGTTTCTTTTTGCTTTTACGTGAGATCTAGTAAATATTTGTCTCTTTCATGAAAAAGAATCGATTAGCAAATATTTAATTTGTCATTCTCGTCTCGTCACCTTTGTAATTTACATTTTCGTTAAAACTTTTGGTAAAAAAATCTATCTATACAAGAAACTTTCTTTATCACTTAAAGAATTTTGCGAAACTATTAGCTTTGATTATTATTAGCATTTGCCTTATTCTTATCTCTCGAAATATTTGTTTAACTGAGCAGTGCAAAAGAGTCCCATTTTTTAAAAATGGTGGTGAATCAAGGCCAAAAATTTCCCCAAACTAATGAGACTAATAATAATCTTAAAACTCAAGAATATCGGAAAGGGCGCTTTACAGAAGAGGTAATGAATGAAAGCAAAAATTAGAAAAACTTTTTTTTTTTTATGACTAAATAATAATAATATTTTCCGAAATAACTAGGAAGATCAAGATTTAATAAAATTTTACAATATGTATATTGAAGATCAAAGGAATAAAATTTTGGCTGTCATGGAACCTCATCTGAATAGGAATTCGAAATCTCTGAGAGAGAGGTATTATTTTATAAAATTTCATCAGAATTTGCTTAAATTATTTAATTATCTTTAAATGCAAATTAAAGTTTCTTTTTTCTTTTTTATAATATCGTAATAATGTAGATATTGCAATCACCTTGATCCAAATGGTAATTTTTTTCTATTTTATTAAAAATAAATTCGTCTAAATATTTTAAATTTTAAATTATTTTAATTAATTTCAAATTTTATATATTCAATAGTTGATCATAGTGAACTTACTAAAGAAGAGAAGTTAAAAATAAAATTCATTTATGAATCTCTAAGGACTACATCATTTTCTGAAATTGCTCGTATTCTTAATCAGAGCAATGTAGAAAGAAACGAGAAACGTCGCACGGACTTTTTAATTAGAAATTATCTTTCTCCTAGATTAAGAAAAGAGAAAAGAATTAAAGATAGAATGTCAATTACAAATATATTGAATAATTGAAGGTAAAAAGTCTTGAATTTACATCTGAAATTTTCTTATCCGCTTAATTTTCTTAAATTAATTTCATTTTATCCATTTTACAGGAATAATAATTTGAGGATATTCGTTATTATAATTTATTTTATATTTTCTTTAATAATTTAGTCATTATTATGTTAATTGTTCTTTTATTATTATCATTTACAATAGGCATCTAACTTTTAATCATTTCATGTAGTTATTTATGAATAACAAATTTATATTCTTTAATAATTTTATGTTTTTATCCCTTTTTATCACATGATTATCCTTGAATGCTCTAAATAAATAACTTGCTAATTTTAGCTTATATAAAAAAGATCAAGACTTTTTTTTCTACTCCTATATTTGTAAATCATCCAAGTTATGAAAAAATCGGAGCGCATGTAATCAATAAATTCAATGAATAAATATGATTTTTTTAAGCCAATCTATTTTGTTATTTTGTCGGTAGAAAGGGTATTATGAAATCTTTGTAATTTTTATAATAGAAAAAATTCTGCAAATTAGGCTTTTATTTTAATAGCGTTAGAATAGGAAAAAGCAGCATTCTTTTCCAAAAAAGGAAACAAAAAATTTTGATATTATGATTTCATTTATCTGTAACAGAAGCAGAGTTTTTACAGAATAATAAGAATAATAAGTTTATTGAAATATCTCAATATCTTGAAAATTACAAAATTAAGTTTACAATTTACTGTTAGATTCCCTTATACCTGTTAATCAAAATTGGAGCATCCAAAAAAAATTCCAGTGGGCAAGAATAGCATAAAATCATTCCTTAATCTCCAAATTATACCTATGAAATTTAAGTAATCGATTTATTTAAAAGGAAATGGTCTCAGACTTTATTTATATTTTATATAATAAATCATCAAATTAAGTAAATCTGATCAGAATAAATAGGGTTTAAAATACCAAGACACTTAGTTAACTAGTTAAAGAATAATGATGATGTTTATTTACTGTTTTTAATATTGATAACTATGTAATCTACTGTTATTATTACATTGTAGCATATCTCATTACTATGATTAATTGTCGAAATATAATTTAAGTGATTGTTTTACTAATTTTTGTAAAGTTCTTTTAATTTCTAAACACTTGTTCTTCTAAAGGTTTAAATCGATCTTGAATACTATGAATTTAATCATAATTATATTTTTTATTTCGCAGTGCCTAATTTCAATATTTTTCACCCGTCTTCTTTCTCACTAAATAATATAAATAATATAAATATATGGTCAAAAATATATGATTATATAAATCTATGATCTACTACACTAAAAAAGTTCAAAACGTAATACTACAAATTACAACAATGTGGTTCTCGTCAGCGAATTCACTGTCACCGTAACATATTATATAACTTGAATATAAATTTATAATAAAAATAAAATACTTATGCTAATATCTTCGGGAAAAACCAATGTAGTTTTATTTCATTATTATAACAAATTAAAAGTAATTTATATTGTTTAGGGTGGTAAATGGAGAATGGATTTCACCTTTCTTCTTTGACTATATATTATCAATAATTGTTATCAATAAGTGTTCAAATACTGATAATTTTGTTAAACCATTGTCCATTGAATATTCTTCATGTTTTTCATTAGTAAATCAACTTTTCATTATGTATTCTGGATACTGACACTCATGAGATCAACAAAAGTATAAGAAAGAGTAATCAATAAGAATTATTAATTGAGGCAATACGTTGAATAAACCATAGTTAAGTTGTAGTTGTTAAAAGTTTAGAATAATCGAAATAACCTTCACATATGTCAACTACGCCAAGTCATTGAAATATTTTAAATAAAAGGATTTTTTTTATTTAAAAAAAAGAGTGTTTACCTCTATAATAATTGTCAGACATATAATGGCTAATTCGGTTAAGGTAATGATTTTTGGACGAAACCTCGAGTAAATATGTTGAGTTTATTGAAATTATTAACTGTTTATAATCGCATTTTGAAAACAATTTCTAAAATTTAGGTGCAAAAGAATTGCTTATGTTACACTTTGTGCTAGAGGTCAGAAGAATTAGATAATAAATAAAAGCTAGAATTAAACTTGAAAATTCTAAGAACAATTTTTTGTTCAAATAAATTTTAAACAAACCATTTTCAATTAGAACATGACATTTAGCAAATAATCAACTGACAAGAAATAATTCCAATTAATTCTTTTTGATAGGTATACTAATCTAATTGTGGTTACCAAAGATAAAGAAACAAATGTTAATTAGAAAATGCCATGCTAATGAAAAATTATCACAGAGAATTCTCACAAATTGGTAAATTTACTATAAGCAAATACAAAAAAAAAATGTAAAGTTTATGTTTATTCAATAGATACAAAATAGATAAAAATATAGTCTAATAAAATATTTTAATTTTCATTAAGATTTACTAATAACTTTAAATACTTCATAATTATCAATAGAAAATCTTTCTGATGTTTTTATACATTTTTCATAATATCTGGGAGAATTATCACAGATACTAACACTATCTAAATTAAAATTAGATATATTGCTATACAAACTAAAGCCATATCCAAAATAAGGACCATAAAATTTTTGTTCACTTTCGCGTCTATATAAAATAGCACGTCTGGTATTTTTTACTCTGCTAAGAATT